GGCCCTCTAGTCCTACCACATGCAGTGAAGCTGTGGACAAGGGGGGGATGCAAAGCCTGATCAGCTCTGTGTACCTGCAAAACAACTGTTGTTCACGCTGTCTACTTTCTTAGTTTGTTTCCATGGTCGTTCCCATGATAGACCCCAAAACAGGTCTCCCTCGCTACGTATGCAGTAACTAGAGTCCGCAGTCATGCAAACCTTTTTGTTAAACACCTTCACTTCCACTGACCCAGCCGCCTTGCCGTTTGCGTCCATTTTTCGTGGGAATTGAGTTAACTGCAAACCCATTGTCAAAGTGTGAGCCGCTGTGTCGTCCCACTGGGTGCAGAGTGTGATCCTCTCGCAAGAGAGGCGCCGAAGCCATCGTGAATCACATATTGACTCTGCGTTTTCTGCACACGTTGGATTATCACTTTTGGATTGAATGTTTCACCACATGAATTTCCTGCTACAACACTTTTTACGGAGATTTGATACCGCCGGGTTTACGGAGTCGACCTTTCGGAGCTTTCGCGGTTCCCTCTACCACCCCTCTAATTAGGGTAACAGAGGGAAATGGTACTCGACACACTTGTGCGTCGGTGCCTTTCCCTCTGTTGTCCCTGTTCTAGTCTACTCTACCCGGGCGGTTTAAGACTAAAGTCCCGCTCCCTAACTATTGCACCTAATTAGTTTCCGCTAAGTAATCGGTAACTCTAGAGTGCTAAGTATTCAGACACACACACACATGTACACGCACATGGACATACACCCCCTCCCTGCCCCCCGCTTTCTTTCTTACGTTTTTTGCCGTTTCTTGGGCTTTCTTTCAGGCTTTTTAGGTGGTTCTTGAGGCTCGTTTCCCTGCCCCAGTCAAGGGCTAAGTCACCTTTTGCTACCCCTATCTTTCTCTCCTGCCCTTTTAGCACTGCTCTTTCTGTTTTTCTTTGTCTCGCTTCTAAGGTTTTGTAGGTGTCTATTTCAGGTTCTGTGCGAGAGCGCCGCGAAGCGGCCGGGTGTGTGCGTCACCCTCCGTTTCCAGGAGTTTAAACCCGATTTGTTTGCAGGGGCGTGTGGCCCTCTTGTCCTACCACACGCAATGAAGCTGTGGGCAACAGGGGGACGCAAAGCCTGATCAGCTCTGTGTACCTGCAAAACAACTGTTGTTCACGCTGTCTACTTTCTTAATGTCAACCTAGGATTAGGGAACCCCCCCCTATTAGTCTACCCAGCGTTCAGGCCCCAACAATAAACTAATTTGAACTACTAATTTCCACAATCACCACCCTCTAATAATTTTTTTTCTTGGCTGAAACCCCCCCCTATTAGTCAACCCCCTGTCCTGCCAGGAAAAATATAATTATTCAAATATATATGTGTTTAATTAGTTTTATTCTTTTTGGATCCAATTGGCATGACTCTGATCTCTCAGATCTCTCATCAAATTTGTGCCAATAAGCTCTCATGGATCTCATGATGAAAGGGAATTAGTATTTGGGCTCTCAGGGATCTCATCATTCCATCCCATCTCATCTCCTCCTCCTGTCATCATCAGGTCATCCCCACTATTAGGGGGATGTGATCTCCAAAACCTCCAATCTCAGACCTTGTTGACCTTGTTGACCTTCTAGGGGGGGGGGCCCGTTGATTAATCCGACGTTGACATTAGTTTGTTTCCATGGTCGTTCCCATGATAGATCCCAAAACAGGTTTCCCTCGCTACGTATTCAGTAACTAGAGTCCGCAGTCATGCAAACCTTTTTGTTAAACACCTTCACTTCCACTGACCCAGCCGCCTTGCCGTTTGCGTTCATTTTTCGTGGGAATTGAGTTAACTGCAAACCCATTGTCAAAGTGTGTCAACTCCTGCCTCTAAGGAAATTTTAATAAGTTTGTACAGATCAGCAGGGGGCCCATGGGCACATGGATGGCATGGGCCAACGACCATGTTGCCGTGCAAACGTACCTGCACCAATTGTTCAGCTCGTGTGATTGAGTTAAACCATACTGTTTAGGCTGACTTCTTCACCTTTCTGTTGTGCATATGGCCCATATGGCCGTTGACAGAATCAGGTATCAGCGCTCTAAACTGGTATTGCAATCACTATAGAGTGGACAACCAAAACTGATAGAGCTCTTGCGAGCATGGATCTAAGTGTGTCACTCCCCGGTTGCAGCAACTTGAACTTGACTATGTGAGATTGCTACACGCTGACCGTAGTTGACTACAAATGAAATTGGGGTAAATTGATGAGGTGCGCATGCATAGAACATTCCAACATAATCTATGCAATGACAAAGCTGCTACTTTGTAAGCATGAATGGTCCATCGACTCAAACATCCTCACACTGCCTGCTTCAATGGGAACAAATCGACGATTCCCCCACACAGGCCACACAGGCAAAAACACGGGTCGATGCCTCTATCTTCAAGTAAAAGGCGTCTTGAACGTTCAAGTAAAGCATCTGGTACAATGCCATCTTACTCAATATCTCAGCTTGTTCCGCCCAGCTATCACCATCTTGAGAGGTATGCTTCCAAGCAGTTGACGCTCCCAAACTAACAAGCCCAACGGATAAAAGAGATGTGATTCCAACGAAGAGCCTCTTCCAAGACTGACCACCAGAAACTTGTGCCGCTGGCTCCAGAAAGGAATCCTCTTCCATCATCCCTTTGCGCGCTGAGCATGGAAAAAAAGTGGCTTGATCCACACAAGATGAGCATGTCAGGAATGAGACCGACCGAGTAGCATGCCGCATGCCGGACAAGATGTGCCGAAACGACAGGATTGAAACACAAGGAGGTTCAACAGACTTCAAGGACGCCGTCTCCACCGGCTCTTAACAAGCCGGGAACAGCATGCATGCTTCAATGTCGGAGTCGGGAGATGACAAAAAGCTCCGCAGGTTCAGATGATGGCAACACTAATACTACATGTAGTATCCCAACCGCCCAGACCCGCTATTGGACCCGGTTTCCTTCAGACCTTTATCTCATCTCTCTGACGGAAGCGCTTCATGACGAGGTTTGGGGCGATGAGTTCGTTGATTGCGTTTCACCCCTACTGGCTAGGCTGCCTAGGCTGCCAGGCTACTGGCTAGACCAGCTAATGTCCGAAGAATTGAACACAACATGTAGCATGCAGGTGGAGCTGTTTCATAGTCTTTGTTCAGCCACATTGCAGAGAATCTCAGAAACTTGCTAAGAGGCTAAGAATTGAACATAAAATACATTAGAAAATAATCAAAGTACATGGCGAAGCCCCCTACTTGAGACACCCAAATTCAATTGAGACCTTGACACTGTTTCCACCTTTTATCATGGTATTATCATGGTATTATCATGATTTGTCCCCTCAAAAGCGGGAACGGATGGGATACACGGTCGACCCGCAAATCGAATCGGCAGAACGCTCAGTGAACACGAAACGGGAACAGTTAGGTCTTTTTGTAGGACCCAGTACCATGAGCCGGAATTGGTCTTCAACTCATCTTCAACTCTTCAATTCAATGCGTGCTCCTTTTTGCCCTCTTTCGGCATCCTTGGCAGATCCACTTCAGGTCTCTGCCCCTGCTGAGGCACACCGAGTTCGGGTGAAAAAGGGGAAAGCCGTCTTCTGTGATTTCACCTCAAACAACTTATATTCTAGGAGGCTTTCAGGAATGAGCAATCTGTTTTATCTGAAATGATACGAGTATAATGTTCATTTCTCGCATTTTCTCGCATCACCCACTGTACAATTTGTATAGAAAGCATCTTCGCTCACTAATGAAAATGCCGGGATGCCAGCTTTTCCAGCTAATCCCGACTTTTGTTCGACACGGAGCTCCTAACATCTCGCAAAAGACAGCTCAAAAAAGGTAATGATGTAACCAAGTCATGGTGTACTTGTACCACTCATCCAGGTGCTTCCCTCTCACTTTGGCCATTTTGCGTGATCGCACCAGGCGAGGGCGGCACCGATCCCCGAGATGGCGCCAAAAAGACCAGTGAGACTGGCGGTGATGCGCGAGGCACAAGCAAATGGGACCAAGTAGGTGCTCCCACAACCCGATGCAGCACCTGCCAGGAAGGTTGTCATCTGGCCAAGATCTGCAATGAGGCAGGAGATACTCAACATGCAAACTTCGCGCTCATAGGTGCTGGGAGATTCAGGACAAACGCCAGGTGCAGTTGCTATGGTGTTGAGTTGATAGCCAACTCTGGCAAGGAAACTGATTGCCTGTCCGACATTATCGAGGCAGGCTGCTAGCATGACTCGCTCCCTGCCTTGCTCGAAGTGTTTTGAGTAGGGCACCAAGCCAGTGGTGGGGTCCTTGCACTGGACAGAAATGTCACTCATCGCAGCTGCAGTTTTGGTCAGTCCGAAGATCAGCAGGCTTATACCCATGCTGCACTTGGCTGGATACTTGGTTTTCACCTCGTTGGGTGGAGGGCAGGTGTAGGTGGAATCCGATATGTATTGACTCACTCCAGATAAGCTGGAAATCATTCCGTTGATTTGGGATGCACAAGACATGCGAGCCTCTTTGATACTGTCTTGCCGCACTGAAGACGCCGGAATATTGAAGGCCAAGCGCCGTGACTCAGCAGTGCGATTCCCTTCGGCAAGCAAACGTCGATTTCCAAGCCACACTCGTTCGAACTCTTTGGCCTGTGGACTTGAAGCCACTTTTGCATTGGGCAGGTTGCACACATGAATGGACGCCTCCAAGGAAAGAACGGCGGCCATCAATTTCAGTGACATCACTGAAGCATCTGTGATGCAAAGACTCACTCGGACAAAGGTCTCTTTGTTGGATTCGCCAGAAATCGTCAGTCGATTGCCTTTCCAATTCGAAAAACCAAGCTTCCGTGCGATCCTCTGCGCCTCCTCATGCTGCCAAAATGAAGGTCCAATCGCCGGGAGTGAGGTCACGTCCACGTGCTTCTTTCTCACCTCCTCATCTGAAAGGCTGCTCAAGAGACGCACCTTCCTGCAAGGTTGTGAATGTTGGCCAAGGCTAAAAAGTGGCTCTTCTATATATACATTTGGTATTTTTTGGTGCTAAACTTAATGTACGTATCTTAATCCTGTTATAATCTGTCTTATATATATAAGTCATCCTTTTTCCAGGTCCACCCAAGTGTAGCGATGCTTCTAAACATCAAGGTCTGGAGATTCGATCGATCTGTTTCTTGGTTCTGATCCTATCCGTGGTCAAAATCACCATGGACATGGTATTGGTCTTAAGGGCGTAGCCTATTGAGTATTGTGCTGCAACCTGTCGTGGAACAATTCTCACAATTCTCATTTGATTCATTGCCTTTGCACGTCTATACCTCTCCAGGTCCAGGTTAAAGGGCAGCGTGGGTGCAGAGTGCATGGCTTGGCCACGATATGTTAGACGTTGCATGTGCAAGCAACTGGGAAACCGACCAAGTTATAAACAAATACTGCAAGTGCCGCTGGATGAGACGTCCCAGTGCTTTGTTTCCAGCCACACCCGGACCCACCAACAAACACGTCCAAAGACTGGTTTCCGCATACTGTTTCTAAAGCGAAGGCTGTGTGATGTATGAAAAAGCTCACCATTTCTTTCAATGTTACATCGACCCCTTCCTGCCTAGCCCACATGAAACCAGTCATCCCTCCCCAACATTGCAAACTCATGGCCCCTTCGAATTTGGTAGAGCAAAAGCGTCTGGTATAGGACCATCTTCCTCAAGACTGCACTTTGCTCTGACCAACTTTGGCTATCGGATGGATGGTTGTAAGGAAGTGATATTCCCAATGTCAGCTCGGCACACAGCAGAAGAACCACTCCCCAGAAGCATCGCTTGGTGAAGTGCGCAATCAAGACTGATGGCTCGTCCACTTCCAGCAAGCCCTCTTCCGCGTCGTCGTGCATTGTACTTCATTTGGAAAAAGAAACAACTGGCTTGATCCACACAGCATGGATGATGTCAAAGAAAAAAGCACGAAAGCGGCACTGACGGTTTTACAGGGTCCCACACATGGCACATGAGAACTGACGCTCTACGCTCTACCCAGAATGGCCTAACTTGAATGTCTACCAAGAAACAAGAAAACGTTTCAACCCAGTTTTCTCAATTCAATTCCGAGTAGAGTGATGAACAGATTCCCCTGTGTTCTCCAGTCGGTCTGAGTCATCTCCCAAGCTTCAGCAGCTTCCGCATGCCCAACTCCTGCCCCTTCACCTGGTGACCAAGGTCGAACGCCCGACCACCACCCACCTCTCTGGACCCTTTTGAGGTACAGTCTGACCAGGTAAGACTGTACCTAAAACCGTTTCTTTCGCGCTTTTTGAGGGTGTTTTGGGATCAACTTCAGTGAAATGAGGTCAGGAACTCCTGACCTGCAGAGACCAGACGCCTTTTTGGGTCAACCTCCATCCTTCCCAAGCGCTTTCATGTCTCTCACCAAGGCATGTCGCAGCCTTAGATTCGCGGAGAAAACGAACGGCGCCCAGTGAGGCGAGAACATCTCTTCTACTGCATTCTCAGCCAGCAAAAGTGTTAGAAATGGGTATTTTTTTTGGATAGCAATGAGATTGCCATATTTTGTACCAAGGAATTTCCCAAAGGCTGTATGCATTTGTCTACAAACAGGCAAGCAGGGGTGTATGACCAATGATGCTGCGGCTCAATACAGCTAACCACTCGAAGTGAATGGAGCCCTAAAATAGCACATGCTACCAGTTTGACCATATACAGGACATGTCCCTGGTCCTCGCCCGATTCACTCTGCTTTCCGCTTTTCTACAACTTAGCAGGGTTGCTTGACTCTCAAGACTCAGGTCTTTGCCTGGGTCTTCAAAATTATTGGATGAACTGCGAGAGGGTGTGAACACCATTGATGTTTGGATACTGGGAGGTCACTACAAAATCATTTCTAATATATATATATATATATTATAGGCCTCTTGTCTACTTACTTGTTGTGTCCGTGTGTGGCATGTTTCCCTAGGAGGCACAAGTATACACACATATTATGATCGCATATTACTTGACAAGTATACACACATATTACGCCAAACAATCCGGAGAAAGCCGTCCCGTGGCTGCGATCAAAACTTTGCTGCGACAAACAGTCGTTCCTTCCCTGGCAATCCAAGTAGCTTGGTAGAAGGTGTTTGGATTTGTTTGGAGCTCTACGCCTACATGGCCTACATAAACTGGTCTCCAATCATCTCAAAGGGTATGGATCAATATAGCTTGTTCTTTCCTGACATTTAGGGGAGTCTCCGTATCGCAAACTTGTGTTATGACTGTTCCCATCTTCCCAGCACATCCACAAAACAAGAACGACACGATGTTGCGCACGATGTTTCACACGGTGCAGGTCCGAGAAAACACCTTCAATTTATAGATCAATTTAGATTGATGGTGTGTTGGTACCGAGCATTGTGCACTTTCTCTTCAAACTCACTGACACGTGCCGAGATATTTCTCTTGAACACGCCAGGGTGATCGCACCAGGCCGCCATAGCGCCCACCGCTTGGATAGTATCGAACAAACCCGTGATGGTGCCTGCGATGCGCGAGGCGCAGGAGTAGGGCACCAGGTTCATTGCACCGCAACCGCTGGCGGCAGCGGAGAAGTAGGTGGCCACTTGGCCGATGTCGGCCAGCAGGGAGCCGATGTTCTCCATACAAACTTCCCGCTGATTGCTGCTGGGGTATTTCGGACAAACGCCCGGTGCAGTGGCGATCGTATTCAGTTCATAGCCAACTCGAGCAAGGTAGCTCATGCCCTGTCCGATATTGTTGAGGCAAGCTGCAAGAATGATTTCCTCTCGACCTGGTTCAAATTCTTTTGCATAAGGTATCAAGCCAGTGGTGGGGTCCTTACACTCGACGGCGATGTCACTCAACGCAGCTGCACTCTTCGTCAGTCCAAAGATCAGCAGGCTAATACCCATGCTGCACCTGGCTGGATAGTTTGATTTCACCTCATTAGGTGGTGGACATGTGTAGATGGAATCCGATATGTATTGACTCACTCCAGATAAGCTCGAAATCATTCCGTTGATTTGGGATGCACAAGACATGCGAGCCTCTTTGATACTGTTTTTCTGCACCGAAGACGCCGGAATATTGAAGGCCAAGCGCCGTGGCGGCTTTGCAGTGCGATTCCCTTCAAGCAAACGTCGATTTCCAAGCCACACTCGTTCGAACTCTTTGGTCTCTGGGCTCGAAGCCGCTGTTGCAGTGGGCAGGTTGCACACATGAATGGACGCCTCCAAGGAAAGCATGGCGGCCATCAGTTTGAGGGTCATCAGCGAAACGTCAGTCATGCAAAGACTCACCCGTACAAACACATCTGTACTGGACTCTCTGGTGATCGTCACTTCGCCATCTTTCAATGAAGTTGAGAAGCCCAAATTTCGGGCAATCAAACGGGTCTCTTTCTGCCGCCAAAACAAAGGGCCAGTTGCAGGCAAAGCGGTTACGTCAACGTGGTTCTTGTTGAACTCCTCGTCAGACAAATTCCGCAAAAGTCTCATCTTCCTTAACTGTTCTTTCGGAAGCTGCCAACATTTGGATTGCTGCCGAAATGTATTTCCTCCCGAAACACACCCCTACAATCAATGTAAAGCAAAAAGAAGCTTGCTTTTTTTGCTCGTCACCTGCACGATCTCAGCTCCTCGCATGACTGACCAAGCGTTTTAAGTTACCCAAATGACCAAAAGACTGACCAAACGTATTCTATAAATTTGGAATCGTTCGTTGGACATCAACTGAACTTTTGTCCAACAGTGGTGGACATACTCTACTCACCACTGAAACAATGGACGGCCACTGACCCACCACTGAAACAATGGAATCACCGGGGTCTGGTCTTAAAAAATATGGCAGACTTCCTGTTGCATTCAAAAGGCCATTCTTCCTGTTCTTTGTTCCTTGTTTCTAACAGCAATGGCCTCCAACCTACTTGCGATGGCCTCCACCCTAAGAGCGATGGCCTCCAACCTAGTAGCAAAAGGCATGCACAAGAGGTTGGTCCATGTATTTTCTACAGACTTGTAACACTCATAGACACAAGGTGGACGGCTCTTTTGGAATGAATTGCAAAGAAAAAACGGGTGCAGCTAGAACAATGAACAAAATCACCAGAACCCTTCGCATCCCCGAACGGTTCTAAAGATTCAACCCAGCATCTGGTACAAAAGCATCTTCTCCAAGATCTCCACCTGGTCAAATGGACCGGCTGAAGAAATTCAGCCATGAACCACATGATCAGCCCAATTGATCATTTGACCCTCCATTTATTCAGGGTTTCTCTAGTGCGTTTGGGAGATGTGCGTTTGGGAGATGTGTGCCACCTTCGAAGCTTAGTGGCTGAAATCAGGGTTGCCGGCAGGGTCTTCTTCATTTCTTTCTGGCTATTGTTGTTTTACTGTGGATACCTGATTGAATTCATAATATATCATGTCGTTCAGACAGAATGCATCTTTCAGCACAGCGAAGCGTTTGACATTGAAGGCTTTTTGAACGTCACATGGTCCAAAACGCATGGTGTTGAGCAGTTAGACACCACAACGTCCACGCGCAGTTCGACACAACCGCGTTCAACATCTCAGATCTGTATACGGCCGGTCCGCTCGGTGAAAGCACGAAGGGTGAAAGCACGGCCTCATCTGGCTGGTGGTCGCGCGAGCAGTTCATGCGAAACGCGTAGTATGTGCTGCACGTGCCGAGGCTGAGCAGCACAACACCCAGCAACACGAATCCTGAGGCCATCACTTTAAGGTCACACAGGGGAGGCATGGCTGGCTTGGTGGTATGTGTCCGTTATAGGCCATCCTGGAGTCCATGAAGTACAAGCAACCAATAAGGAGGAGCCACCAAATATTCAGACACCACACAAATCAAGACTTACAGTTGATAGGCTAAATGCTGAAACATCCAAAGTCTCAATATCACATCTTGCATGCTTCAGATCTAAAGTCTCCCAATTGATCATGAATGAAAACATGGGAAGGTCAAGGGTTCTCTGTCACCATCTGCCTATAGTACACCCTGTATCAGTCTGTCACCATCGCCCACAAACCGAGCGCCACGGCTGGGGTGACCGAAGAAGACGCCCGGTTTGACCGGTGAACTGCGAACGAGCCGTTCATGAGGTGGACATGTCACGTGTTTTTTTTGCTCCAACCGCCAAGGCTCTGGTTCCAACGCAGCTCTTAGGCGAGGCTGTGGACGAAGTGATGAGGGACTGCACCTCCTCCATCGGGTCTAAGTCACAGGCGCGGCCTGCCACCATGCAAGGGCGTTGCAAGGCTTCTGCTTCTACTGTGACCACAGTGATGTGCGCAATGAACCTTTGGCTACGAAAGGAGGAAGCTCGCTGTTGCAGCTGAATAGCTCACATCGGCAACCTAAAAACCAGTGGCTGTGCTTGCTGAGGCTATGGCTTTGAGCTGCATAGAGTCATTTGAGGATATCTCCCAAGAACCGCAAAACTGTGTTTGGGATACTTATCGCATCTTAGCACTTTGTTTTCAGCGAGAACCAGCGGTGTGCAGCCCACTCTGACCGCAACCTGCCAGTTGTTCTTTCTGCAGTTGATCATGTCTGGTCCATCTTTGCCTTGTTTTGCTCCAAAAATTGCGGAGTCTTTTCACATCAAAGGCTATGGCAATGGATTCATGGAGTCATGACCGGTACTATGACCGGTGACCTAGGACTTCAAGAGGAACAGAAGGATCTCTAGAAGGCACTTCAGACAGGGAACAACAGAGTCTTTAGAGTACAAACATGGGTTGTAGTAGATGGTTGTAGGTGCGTCCCTCCTCTCAGGTAGCACGACTCTGCAAATCCAAGATCTGGACGCAGCACGACTCTTGCTTTCGTACGAAACATGCCGCATAGAATAGACACTCATAGTATGCCTTTTGTACGAAACACAGAACAGGAGCTTGACGACACCAGCTTGTCGAAAACGCCTCGTGTCCGATGGATTGGCCTCCAGGAATCCTCCATAAAAGTGTACCAGGCGCTGTCGAAAAGACGGTGCTGGTCCGGATGTGAGACCTCTAATCCTGCATCAAGAACACATCTAATGCACAATCTATGTACCATAGATGAGTGGAAAAGCAAAAACACACCCACGACCGACCCGAACAGCACAGGAGACCCGTCGACCCGTCGACGTCCGGTTTCGCGCGCGTCCCAAGTCTTCGGACGGGCGCCAGTCGAAGCGCTCGTTGGACACGGGCAAGGCCTGGGCGACGTTCGTCGAGTTCGGCGAGGCCTGCTTGCGCGCCTTTCAACGGAGGGCTGGGATCCACTCAATCAGAGACTAGCATCTAAAAAAAGCCATCTGCTCAAACCCATGTCCTTTGGAATTGCATGGAATTGCCGATCTTGGCATATCTTGGTGGCGTTTTCTTCACTCACCCTTGGTGCCCAGAGTTCTCTGCAGTTAAGGGCTCCCTGGTGGCTCCTCGACGGGCACCGGACATGATGCCGGGCTCTTCGACGCGCGCGTTCGACCGCTCCACACGGCGCCAGAGCTCCACACCCGGCGAAAGCTCCGGAGAGCACCGTCCAAAAGGCTGTCGCATTGGCCCTGACACAGGCTGCCGTGCACAGACTGAACAGACTGACCCAGGCTCCCGTGGTAAAGGAAAGGACTCTGCACAGACTGACTCTGGATTCATAGAAATAGTTGTGCCACCTGGTTGAGGCAAATCACTAAACCACATGTACATGTTAATCATACAAAGATTGCAAAGTACAAATTATAATTCCCTTTTGTGGGTTACTGTCAAGGTTGTTGGAGAGTGGACATTCACACAACAATTCACTGGGCAATGCTCGCTTCTATCATGACAAAGCCAGAAGCAGGCCGGCTTAGGGGAGGTTTATGAGAGCTGCGAGAGAGTGGAATATACCTGGATCTTCCAATGGCACTAATTTTTACGGGAGGCATTTTTCAGTAAAAAGACGCCATAATCAAAACAACTTGCCGTTTTAGAGGTTGCAAACATGTGCTCAAAATCCATGGACGGGGAACGACGCCGTTTGGACGCCTAAAGACAGCGTTTTGAAGCCAAAAAATGACGTTTCTGTTTGGTTTCTGCCGGTTTCCGCTGGTCAAACACCATCTTTAGAAAAAGACGCCGCAACGGCCATTTTTCTTGAACAGATTATTTGTGCTGTTCTGAGGATCAGGTATATTGGAAGCAACCGTTTCTTGAGGGGTTCCGACCTTTCACTGTGCCAAGACCGCTGAGGTGTTGAATACCGGACTTCGAGCAAATCAAGCTAAAGGCAAGATGGGTGAGGCAAACTGTCCGACATCCGCCATCACTGAATGTTCACATGCAGGAAGTATCCTCATTCAAAACCACTGTTCAAACATGTTCAAACAGGATCTTTGGAAAGCACCGTTCAGTCTAATGATCCTTTACAGGATGAACCTGCTCAAATGTCAAACAAATGAACATGCCATCCAATGTCCCGCTTCAAATCATCCATGTCCAACATCCAATGTCCAATGTCCAACATCCATCCAATCAAGGAACATCGATCTCTTCAACTCTCCAATCCAACTGCTGTTTTCTCCCCCCAAGGGCGCTCTCCAGGTCGACGGGTCGACGGGTAAGGCGGTCGACGGGAATCGCCACCAGCCAATGGAATCAACACCGCCAGCGAAGACCGGTGGAACTTCGGAACAATCCGGAACACGTGGAAAGCTGGTGGAAACCGTGCAGTATCCGCCTCGGTATGCTCGTGGAAAGCTTCTTCTTCACCTGCATCAATCGAGGAAAGCAAAGGACAACTTTAACATGCAGCTCTGTATTCCTGTGACAAGCAGGATTGTGGAGTAACTACCACAACTGTGGCAAAACAACAACAACAACAAAAAGAAAACAACAACAAGAACAACAACAACAACACCACCACCACCACCAACAACAACAACAACACCAGCAGCAGCAGCAGCAGCAGCAGGAGCAGCAACATGAACATGAATATCAGCGGAAAATGATACAGTATTCAAGCTGTCCGGCTGAAGTTTCGTAGGCATGAGTGACATGAACACACAAGCTAGTTGAGACAATGCGTTACAAAGTGGACGGCCATCAAGCACCTGGTAAACATAATCATGCACAATAACTAATTTAAGTTATAACTAGAGATAGAGAGAGAGAAAAAAAAGAAACGACTTGTCCATCTTCCCTTCACCCAAACCGGCTTTGGTGCAAGCAAACCTTCCACGTGATTCATCATGTTTCTCTATCACCCCAATGTAGTCACCGGCCAAACAGAGTTGTAAAATGTTGTAAAGACCTCCTGAAAATCAGACCTTCACCCCCAGCTGAATCCGCTTCCTGCTGGGTCTGCTAAACATATTTGGTCTAAATCAGATCAGGATTCATCCATCTTCAGGCCCCGGTCCTCCGTAATCAAAAATACGAGAGTGTCTCCTCATCTTCCAATCATTTCCAATCTCCAAGTCTTTGAGTAGTCATATTCAGGTTGCATCAAGAACTTACCCAAACCATCCCAAGCAACCTTGGATCTCCTGCACCACTTGCTTTGCAAACCTGGCGGTTCATGGCTGCATTTGGACCCGAATCGGACAAGAAAGTGACCGTTCGGCCGTTTTACTACCAGTTATAGGGCGGATCAATGGCACTCAAGAGTCTGGTTTCCCTGACGTCATCCAAACTAGAGTTCAGTCAATATCTGGCAACTCTGACCGTTCATTTAAAGGAAAGTGGTCAACTTTGAATGGAAAAGAATGACATGAGTTCTTTAGCTCCCGAAGCATGCTTCCCATGCCCCTTCCGGCATGCAGGCACCTCTCGGGGTCTTTGGTCTCGGAGATGCTCTTGCGACACCTCGAGAGATGCAGCAAAGCGTTGCTTCAAACAAATGAACTGCTCGGTGAAAAACATCTTGTGTTCGCTTTCATGGTCATGGCAATTCATGACTGTCTTGGTGGCTGGCCTGCTGTTCTTGCTTGGCCTATTTCTTTTGTTCTTGCCATTTACTTTGCTACGCCTGTGGGCATTGCTGTTTTAGTAGTAGTAGTAGTAGGAGTAGCAGTAGGAGTAGTAGTGGTAGTGGTAATGGTAATGGTAGTAGCTGTAGCTGTAGCTGTAGCTGTAGTGGTGGTGGTGGCGGCGGCTGTTGTTGTTGTCGTCGTCGCTGTCGTCGTCGTTGTTGTTTCTGCTGTCGTTGCTCCTAGTCGAGACAGCGCTCAGGCAGCAGCACACAGTTTGTAATTGAAAAACTGTTTGTTGTTCTTTTTATATAGTCAGCTGCCGAAATGTTCTTGCGGGTGACAAGGGTCCCCCCCCACAGGGGAGGGTCTGACATACGGATTGTCTGGGGGCGAGTCGGAAGTGGCTGTTCTTTTCAAAGGGTGCAAACCAAGAATGCTTGCATGTCCTGGTTTCATCTGGTTTCAATGACTTCATCCCAGTCCACGTGGACTCCTCATGATTCCGCTCGTCTCGCGTCCGCGAAACGCGGAAAGTCTCAGGTGCCCCACTCGACTCGCCGCCGGAAGTGGACATTTCCCTCCTGGAAGTGGCCCTGGGCCCTGGGTTTACCATGAAGAATACAGGTGTTCACATACAAACACCATGTTTCCCCACAAACCATAGTGCCATAGGGAAAAGCCGGATTTTGATGGTTTGTGCGGCCCGTGGTGGAAGGCGACAAAGACTTGGCGCCCATGCCAATGCTTTGCTCATCAATTGTTTTTGATGCATATCCCTCCTTGGCGATCGGGCTACTTTACCGTACTCCTGCAAGCTAGAGCACTAAGACTGATCTTGCTTCATGCGCCATGCAAGAGAATGGGACATCTGAAGATTCTGAAGGACGGCTGCAGATCAGCTGCTTGCACGATGCGCCAAACTCATAGACAATTGGCGAAAGCAGCAACACCTGTTCCTCGGCTCTGCAGCCCTCTTTATCTCCTACACCTCCACAGACTCCGGTGTACAAGGACAGTGCGCCAATGCATTCGAGCCTGGAAAAGATGCTGCTCCATCGACTAGACAAGCCGCAAAAAGAACATAGAAGGTTCGCCTACGATTGACAGTAATTAGACAGATTTCAAAAAGGAGCTCTTATAATTATAGATATTCCGCAAAAAAAACTTGTGGGGCCATTCAACGGTATCAAAGCCCGTCCAGTGACAAACATATCTGCATCATGCAACCTGTTCAGCTCACTCAAACCGCTTCAATCAACGCGTTCGGAACCTGCCGAACAAATCATCCGTGAGCTCCACCCTGC